TTAAGTCTTGTTTTATGAGAAAATTATCAAAATGAAGTGAGTTTATGATTAAAACAAGAACAAATATATGCCAATGAGCACAGAAAAATGTACTTATTTCAAAGGGTTTTAATACATCATTGACAGATATGTGTTCTTGTTTTAAGCATAAACTTGATTTTTTTCAGTATTTCACTCTTGCATTTGGAACCTCTTGGGTAGGCACGATAACAGGAATAACATCAGTCCCTGCTCTCGAAACACTGCCTTCTATTCCACGTTCTTTATGCGGACAAACATGCCATTTATGCCCGATATCGCAGCATTCAAAACACTTCATACTACCGGTTGTAGCGTAAACCATAAATGTCTTCCCTTCGTATTTAACACGAAAATATATATCCAGCGTTCGCTCCGGGGAATCCAAAATCATGTTTACTTGTCTCCTAAAAGACATCACGTGTTTTAGAGCTGGGTATTTACATCCCAGAGAGATCATTTTAAACAGACTAACAATCTTTCCGAAACGAACTAACTCGCGCTCCAATGCTCCATTGGTTATGAATGGCGGCACATTTGAAATTGTAATTTTAGAAGAAACCGTGTAGAGGGGAGTAACTTGGACTAAATCGTCATTTACAATAAGGCCACTTTCAATTATTTGATTCACAAGATGCTGCGCTTTCAAAAAGACCACAACAGCCTTGTTCATTCGAGAAGCAGAGGAAATATTTTCGTGGCCTACCACCTCTCCTATCGCAACAAGCACATCCTCCACCATCATCCCATCAACAGGTACACACCTGAGTCCATTGCGTAAGGACAACGCCTCAACCTGAGACGCCATCCCTCCGCGTAAAAACTCACTTTGACAACAACAATTAAAAAAGACTTACCAAAACATGCAGAATCAAGATGAAAAACATAAAGAAAAAAAAGGTTAGTTGAAATTCCACCACTCAGTCTTCGCCCCACCACCACGTGCAAACTCCCAGAATGCCCCGAGAGAGAGAGAGAGAGAGAGAGAGAGAGAGAGACAGACAGAGATGGATGGATGGAACTATACATATAAAGATAAAAGAATGGATGGATGGATGGATGTGGTGTACCTGTTTCACAGGATGTGGGACACTCTGTCCATTCACTGAAGGGTGTGGCGATACAGTCTCTTTTGCAGGGCAGCAGACAGGGTCTTACTGACTCCGGGCGAGGGGCTTCAGGACATCTAAAACATCAAACAGACACACTGAAAGATCACCAGGACACTCAACGCAAGAAAGTGTGACGCACATGTGTTTTGATCACAGGAAGCAGGTGGACCCTTATGACTGGTTTTGTGGTCCAGGGTCACACAAGAACAAATATATGCCAATGAGCACAGAAAAATGTACTTATTTCAAAGGGTTTTAATACATCATTGACAGATATGTGTTCTTGTTTTAAGCATAAACTTGATTTTTTTCAGTATTTCACTCTTGCATTTGATGTCTTTTTACAGTATTTGACTTCTAAATTAAGATGCAGTATTGTTAAAAAAAAAAAAAATGTAAAGGGATAGTTCCCCAAAAAATAATTTACTCACCCTCATGTTGTCCCAAACCTGTTTCTTTTTTCTACAAAAGAATATATTTTGAACAATGATGGGGTCCAAACCACATTGGACCCCATTGACTGTCATTGTATGGAGAAAAATAATAAATGAATAAATAAATAATATTATTATTAAAATATAATATGTTAATTGTGTTCATTTTTGTGAACTTTCCCTTTAAGTCATTTCAAAGCAAATGCATACAGTAAATATCAAGATTAATATCATAAAAAGACTGAAAAATATCAGGATACATTTTCTTTTCTTTTTTTAGCTATACTAGTTTTAGCTTTATTGGTTTTTGCTATAATGCCCTGCCCAACTCCACAATGTATTACATCAGAATCCTTGCAGAGTATGGCTCAGCAGCATCTGTATCACAACAATGCTTCTGTTCTTCCGATCATATTTCCCCTGCTCCGCGGCTGCATTATGTACCAGCCAGACGAGGCAGATAAGGCCTCACATCCTGTTACAGTAGTCAGTCACTGGGTAATACTCTTGTTTTATCACTGTTACAGCTCCTCAATTTAAGATCAGGGGTTAGCTTTAATCTGCTCTGTATTTTAAGCACCGCTCCAACTCAGTTGAATTCCCCTGGATAAAGATAAACAGGGATGCAGCAGTTCAGCAGAGGGACATTCTGTAATCTGATCTTTGATCAAATCCTCTGGGCTCCGGCACGGTGGGATGCAAGTCACTGTGTACTCCATGTTTCATGAGGGTTGCAAATCTGCCACAATATAATAAAGCAACAGATATGTAAGGCTGATTCATTCGTAATACCAATAACAGAAGCGGTAAATCCTACCAGAGAAACAAATCCGGTTTGGGTGTGCAGGGCTCTCCTGGAGATTGGGTACATTTCTGACAGCGCATTAGCAACATTTCAAGACAGACACTGGCTCGACTATTTAATGCCTAACCTGCTACAACTGGTTAAGAGTGCAAAACACTGCAATATCACATAAGGAAATGACTCATTAAAAAACTAAATTTGTTATTGTTGCGAGCAGAAAGGATTAAACAGGAATAAGGCTTGGTAATGTTCCTCATTAAATCATATATTTAACCATGAGGAAGAACAAATACATCGTTTCCTTGCCCTCTCTAAGTTATCATTATTTTTCAATTAGGATTAACCGTCATAACTAGCAGCGTGAAATGAGGGATCACATTTTCTTGAAGGTTTTACTGAAGTAGCTCATTAGAGTTTCTGCAATTATATTATAACACTGTTTGCGCATTGTTAAATCACTTCTAATAGGATATTCCTTTAAAGTACAACTTTTTTTGACCTGATAAGCAGTGTGGACAGAATAAAAGAACCAGAACTATCTTGGAAACAAGTCATGCAAGTACAGCTCCTGTCTGCTTAAATGGGGAAATAAACATAATATTCAAACCTGGTGCCACATGTCAAATCAGTAGTAATATTTGACAATGAACGTATAATTAATGTAGCATCTTCAGCTCTGACAATATTTTTCAAGCGCAAGCAGTTAATGCTTATGCTCATTACAGTGTTATTTTAGTATTATTTCTACATTATTATTATTATTATTATTATTATACATAAATATACCTATTAAAGTTCTAAGTTTTATTTTTATAATTTCAGTTTTAATTTTAGTTCAGGTTTTTAGTCATTTTTATGTGCTTTTGTCATTTTTATTATTTATTTTTTTTATATTTAAAAAAAAATATATATATTTTTTTTCTTTCAGTTTTAGTTCAACATAAGTGTATTTATTTCAGTTAACCAAGGCAGCATTTATCATTTTTGTTTTTCATCTAATATTTATATTTTATTTTATTTCCCCTTCCTTCAGTTACTGAAAATTAGGTTTTAGTTTTAGTTGACAATAAAAACAAATAAAAATTCTCATCTGGCTGTTGAGAGTCTATCTGTCGAATAGTGTGTGAGAGTAATTATTGAGTGTTATGGCATCTTCTTCTTGTACTGTCTCTGTTGAGACAGAGTGGCAGTGCACATGCTCTTGACATTTGTTTCTTGCTCTTTATTCACTATATTGTCTGTATAAGTATCCTAAAAAACAACTAGCTTCGTAAAGCTGTCAGAGCGAGAGATAAAACCTGAAGGGCAGCAGCAGTTGTCAGTTACTGTGAGGCACATCAAAGGTCCAGGCTCTGAGCTTTAACATCGCTGTCTGTGTGATTGTGACTTTTCTCTCAGTCTGATGCTGTGAGTGACACAAAGTGGCTCGGGGCAGGAAAACCTGCGTAAGCTCTGCCTGCCCCAGACCTGGGCAAAAACATGATTTATGATTTACTGCAGGTCTAGATGAGGTATTCAAGATGAAATGCAGGTCTGAGAGAGGATGTGAAATTTTATTTTGTTTTGGGTCACATCAAATGCCTCTGAAGCCACGTAAACAATACAACATTTTGGGGGTGACGACTGCATATAAATCAAAAGTCAAAATTCACAATTTTAGTTTCCTGTACACATTTCTGATCTTACTGTTCATGCTAGAGCCCTGCATTTCAGACTTTTTTACGCCACTCGGGCCGGGCTTCGGCCCAATTTTCACATCATAGTTCAGACGCAGGCCTGGCCTCGGGCCTGTTTTAGGCTTCTCCTTATTTTTATATTTTAGACATCCATCAATTAGTGATGAAAAATTTGCCGCGCTGGTGGAAACAACACGAGACCGTGCTAGTGGCTCGACGGTGTTTATTGTCCAGACAGCAGCAGTACAGTGCGTGCCGTCAGCGCAGCTGAAGAGTTTGCATTCAAATGCACGCAATAGGCTTAAGTTTTGCCGCAAAGCACCAGCAAAAGTAATTACCATAAATGTGACAGGGGGAAATAGTAAGGAGATATTTGAATTATTTACTAATAAACTAGTGTTTTCTGAGTCCGTGTCACAAGGATGAAGTTGCCGATCCTGACTCGCATTCTCCTCAGACGTGCCTTTAGAGAGAAGTTCATCTTTACGGATTATGATTATAATGAAAGAGTATCAATCATACAGTAGGCTCACTGCCTGCCGCTGGCCGCTTGGTCGTTACTTTAAAAAAACAAAAACGTATATTTAGCGAACAAAAAATGCTCCAAACCTTTTTTTTTTTTGTCGGACACGGGCCGGGCTAGGGCCTGAGCATCTCGGGCCAGGGGCAGGCTAGGGCCTAAATTTGAGGCCCGTGCAGGGCTCTAGTTCATGCTACCCCACACTATTCCATAGAATAGACATGATTGTCATTGTATTCATTCATCAAAATGTAGCAACTCCACCTCAGAACCTCTGTTTTTCAACCCCATGTCCAACCACATGTCCAACTACATTCTGATAAACAGTATAACGCCCATTTTTCACCATCCAATCAATTTCCAAAATACTTCACAAAAGCTTGTTTCAGCTCCAGGATCAAAAAATAAAATACAGGTGCATCTCAATAAATTAGAATGTCGTGGAAAAGTTCATTTATTTCAGTAATTCAACTCAA